TTTTTGGAGAAAAATGATGAAAGTGCAGTCTTGGAAGACATAATAGCTACAGCAAAATGTTGTATTCAGGAGGAACAAGATGAAGTAGTCAAAGAATGCATATTGCAACTAGATTCTCTTCCATGTGTTACTAAAGCACTAAACCAACTTAAGGAAGAATTACATCAAGAAGAAGAGAAGAAAGAAGAGCCCGAGGTGGAACTCAAGCAACTACCCTCTAACTTGAGGTATGCATTTCTTGATGAAGGGCATAACAAACCTGTAATAATAAATGGCAATCTGAAGAAAGATCAAGAAGAAAAGCTCTTGAAAGTATTGAGAGAGCACAAATCTGCATTAGGATAGCATATTTCTGATTTGAAAGGTATAGACCCATCTTTTTGCATGCAAAGAATCTTGTTTGAAGAAAATTGCAAACTGGTTGTCCAATCTCAAAGAAGGCTTAATTCAACCATGAAAGAGGTAGTGAGGCAAGAAGTGATGAAATTACTGGATGCAGGGGTTATTTATCCTATTTTGGATAGTCAATGGGTCAGTTCAGTTCATGTAGTGCCTAAGAAAGCAGGTATAACTGTTGTACCAAATGAGAGAAATGAGTTAATACCTACTAGAACAGTAACTGGATGGTGGATGTGCATTGATTATAGAAAATTGAATGATGCATCAAGAAAGGATCATTTTCCTCTTCCATTTGTTGACCAAATGTTGGAGATATTAGCTGGGTATGACTACTACTGTTTTTTAGACGGATACTCTAGTTACAACCAGATTGCAGTCGACCTAAGGGACCAAGAAAATACAACATTCACATGTCCTTTGGGAGTTTTTGCATACCGAAGGATGCCATTCGGACTGTGCAACGCTCCAGCTACATTTCAAAGGTGTATGCTGTCCATTTTTTCTGATATGATTAAAAGAATTATAGAAGTGTTTATGGATGACTAATTATTTTGATCAGTGTCTAGTTAATTTATCTCTTAGTTTGCAGCGTTGCCAAGACTCAAACCTTGTGCTTAATTGGGAAAAGTGCCATTTTATGGTACAATAAGGAATAGTCTTAGGACATAAGATTTCAGCAAGAGGAATGGAAGTGGTGATGAATCCATATTTTTACTAATATTTTAACATATTTCTAACCCATTTGATAAGGAAAATACATGAGAAAAGCAGAAAAACTCAGAAAAATAGAATGATTGAAAGTTTTATTTCAATTTGTAGTTATTTCAACATTGGTGTGATTGATTAGAAATTAAGAATTTAATCTTGTTTTGAAGGAATAATCTGAGTAAGGTTCATAGAAATGTAAAATCAATGGAAAGAAAGAAGAAGAGTAGCAATTCCAGACATCAAAGAGGAATACACACTGGGCATGATCACTATTGCCAGTGAAAGTGATCATTCCAAAGCTTCAAAGAAGAAGGGAGTCTGGGCGTGGTCACTCTTACCAGCGAAAGTGAGTGTTCCAGAGAAGGCAAAATTTCAGCGAGCTCTGCGTTACCACTCTTGCCAGTGAAAGTGGATGTTCCAAAGAGGAGTGATCACGCGCAACCACTCGACCTCCTACGTTGCAACTCTTAGCATCGAAAGTGATAGTTCCAGTTTCCAGAAACCACATGAGCTTCTGCGTAGCCACTCTTATCAGCATGAGTGATAACGCACAAAATCGGGATTTTTATAAATACATGTTTTAAGCTCAGAACTCAGGGTCTTTTGTTCATTTTCCATTTTTTCTGTTAGATTCTAGTTGGGAGACAATGAGAGAGAGGATTGGGGTCGAATTTTGAAGCTCTAAGAAGAGGCATTGGATTGGAACTCGTGGAGATGGCTTCTTTGCAATTCTTCTCTTCTTCTCCTTCTTTCTCTTTCTCTGTTCCAATGTTTGCTTAATTCTCCATAGTTAGGAGTTTATGGAACTTGAATTGATGTATTAATTTGACTTTTGCTTCTGAAATTTGAGTTCTTGGATTAATTGAATTGTTAATTCTACTGTTATTGCAATCTGTGAATGGAAATTCGCATGGTTAATCAAAGAGGAACATTTACCAATGGAAGTTGGATTTGCTTCTCTGATCTGAGTTAGAAATCAGAATTAGGGATTTCTTAGGGATAAGGAGACCTAATTTTGCAATTCTAAGGTTCCAAGTCTTAATGCAACATGAAATTGAACTTTACCTAAGGGATTAGGGGGGTTTAGTTGCTTGTTAGGGTTAATGATTTAAGGAATTAAACTTTAACTATTAATAAGAGAAATTGATTGGCAATTAACTAATTACTTGAATTTTCAAAGGCATGATTGAATTGATATTGACATTCTTGTGAAATAAATTCCTAACTATTCTTCATTCCTATCTCATTTTATCACAACTTTCATACTCTATTTTTACTGCAAGTTTCTTACTGATGGGACATATTTTATTGTGTAATTACATATCATTATGGCCCTAATTACTGTCACATTTAAGCTTAATTTTGTGGTAGTTTAATGTTTGTTAACTGTCATTTGAATTGTGGACTTAATTGCAAAACTAATGAAATTTCATGTTTATTGGCAGTTTGACCTTTGCTCAGTGCTAAGGACATATCTGGAGCTACAGGACTCCAAATCAAACGATTCCAAATGCGTTGTAAATCTAAGGGGCAAAGCTATAAATGTCTCTCTCACGTGTATCATCCAAATCCAACTGGAAGATGGCAAAACTTGAGGTCGAAAAATCACCACGGAATCTGCCTTGCACATGTCGGAATTTGGGTTTTGTTTTGTCATATTTTATTTTTAGTTTTGGCCCAATTTGGAATGCTTCTAGAAGATCCAATAAGTGGGTCCAGATTTTGAGGGGGGAATAACCCTAATTGAAAAAAGTGCCAGCGCAGCAACATTTTTTTGGGGCACACTCACCAGATATTTTTCTTACGTAACTTCTCTATGAGAATGGATAGCTCTCGGATTCTTCTTGTTTTTCTTGGATAATTTTCAAATTTTATTTCTAATTCCAATTCAGGTTCTCCAATTTATGCTCGCGTAACTCTTCTTCCTCCTTCAATTTATGCTTTAAATATTTTCATTTTTTTTAGATTGGGTGTTGTTCTTTGTTCTTGGTTCCATTTTCGATTTTTGCTCCCTTCAAATCTTTGAATCTTGCTATTTAATGATTTGCTTGTTGATTATAGTTTTGGGTTATATTGCTGTTTTGATCTCTTGGTTATAAATTCTAGTTTTTGAATTTGTAAGTTTACATTTTGTTTATATTCCGGTTCTAATTGATTAGCTATGGAGTAGATTTTGAGTTGATTCACTAATTGGATTATGAATTGTATGCTCGGATTGTATCTTGTTTTGCTTCACCAATTGTTGTTGTTAATCTCTTGATTTAATGCTTAATTGATTTTCTAAATCTTGCTTAATGAATCAGAATGTTATTTCAGTTGGATTCATGGTGAAATCGAATTCATAATTATGCTTAGTAAATGTTGTTTTGGTAAAACCATGTATTAAACCCGGGATTAGCTTATGCAATGTTTAATTGTAATTTCTCAATTTAATTCTCGCTTAGTGGATTGAGTTGAGGAGCAAGATTAGTGAATGAAATTAATTAATGTCAATCTGGTGCAAGCAATTCGTAATCTTGTTAAGTAAATCAATATCTTGCATTTTTAGATTTGTTAGTGTTTCATTCAATTTTGCCAACAACTGTGTGATTTGAATTTTGTTTGAGTTTTGTTTAAAATTTTTGATAAAACCCCCTATGTTTGCCGTTTTTAATTTTGGTTTGTTGAATCTTTGACCAAATCCGTTGTTCCTTGGGAGACAATCTAGGTCGACATCTAGCTGCATTTAATTGCAATATTTTTGACTGAGTACGGCAATCATCACTTACCTTTTAATTGTTCCTATTCTTGACTTCTGAATGTTACAAATCTTCCAATTTTGTATGGCTCAAATGGTTATAGTTCTGTGAAGTGATAATTGATTTCCTAATTCCCTGTGGAGACGATATTCTGATCTTAAAAATTACTCATTACTTGCTGCAATTCCTAGTGCACTTGCTAGTGTTTAGAGATTGTAAACAAGTTTTTGGCGCCGTTGCTGGGGAATTTGTGTTTCAATATCATTAGTAGTAGAGAGGTAGCTAGATTGAGCATTTATTTTTGTTGTTTTGCTTTTAAGTATTTCTGCATGATTTTCTTTTATACATTTTGTGTAGTTTTCTGCACTATTTTATGTTATTTTTTGCATTTTTCTGCATAATTTCATTTTTCATTTCTCTGCATCATTTTCTATTGAATTCTATATAATTTTGTAGTTGCTAGACTTGAATTTTATATGCTTTTGCTGATATGTTCTGCATAATCTTTGTTGTGCATTTCTGAATATCGAGTTGTAGTTTAATCTTGTTGCATTTTGATTTGTTTATGTGTGGTAAAAACAAAAATAAATCAATTCTGGTCTTTGATCTTGACATAGACATAACCTTAAGAAGATTAAGAAGAGAGGCTAGAGCAGAAAAATTCATAGGAAGTGATAGTCAAGTAGAAGTTGTCTATTCTCCAGAAATTCAGAATACTCCTAGAGTAAAAAGAACACCTACATCTTTGAGACAACCAAATCCAAAAATAGAGATGGCAGAGCAAAATAGAATTAGAACATTAGGGGACTATGCTATTCCTAACATGCAAGGTTTTAATTCTTCTATAATTAGGCCAACTATCGAAGCTTACCAGTTTGAGATTAAACCTGCCCTATTACACTTAGTCCAACAGGATCATTTTTCTGGTGGAAATTTTGATGATTCTAACCTACATATTTCAAACTTTTTGCAGTTATGTGATACCATAAGAATGAATGGGGTTAGTGAAGAAGCCATCAAACTGAGATTATTTCCTTTTTCCTTGAGAGATAGAGTCAAATGCTGGTTACAAGCTCAACCACAAGGAAGCATCACAACTTGGACAGGGCTATGAATAAATTTCTAACCACGTACTTTCCTCCATCCAAAGCTGCTAAGCTGAGAGTGAGAAATTACATCCTTTGTGCAGTAAGAAGGAGAATCTTTGTATAAAGCTTGGGAAAGATACAAAGAATTGATGAGAAGGTGTCCACATCATTGTATTCCAGACTAGATGCAATTGGAAACTTTCTACAATGGAATGAACACATCAACAAGAACAATGGTTGATGCTGCTGCTGGAGGTTCCTTAAATACAAAATCTTTAGAAGAAGCCCAGAGAATTATTGAAATGATGGCATCATCAATGTACCAGAATTCAAACTTAAGAAATTAAGGAAGAAACTCTGGTTATGAAGCTAAGGTTTTGGAAACCTTTCTTGCACAGAACCAGCTACAAAATCAGATGTTTTTAGAACAAATAGCTGCTCTAACTCAACAAATCAGCAATCTTCAAGTACGGAGTATGCCTATCAGTCAGCTAAATTGTGATTTCTGTGGAGGAAACCATGCAAATGGTGCATGCGATGCATCTACAAGTGAACCACAGGAACAAGTGAATTATATGAACAATTTTCAGAGACAACAATCCTCATATCCTCTTGGATTTCAATTTTTGAATAATAGAAATCAATAGTATTCTAATTGGAATAATCAATATTCTGCTGCAAAGAATTCTAACTCCAATTTACCTTTTTCTAATATAGGTCCAGCAACACAACAGTCTTATTTTCAGAGGAATCCATCCACTCAACCTCAAGGAACTTAGAAATTTTCCAAACCTATGAATGAAAGGTTGACTGAGATAGAGGAAACCATGCTGTAATTTATGAAGGTGACCCAAACAAGCTTCAAGAATCAAGAAGGTTCTATGAAGAAGTTGGAAACCCAAATTGGACAGTTAGTTGAACAATTATCCAGTAAGGATGAAGGAAGATTTCCAAGCAATATAGTGATCAATCCTAAGGAGCAATGTCAAGCCATCACTACAAGGAGTGGAGCTATAGTTGAAAGTCCAAAAATTGCAGAAAAGAAAGTTAATAATGCAGCAAAAGAAAGGAGAATTGAACAAGATCTGCAACAAAGAAATTTTAAGCTATTGAAGAAAGATCATTCAGAAGAAAAAGTATAAGTTCCTATGAATTTTGAGAGGAAAACCAAGAAACAACTCTTTGAAGATGCTTGCAAGCCAATAGATTCAGAAAAATACAAGAGGCTACCTTATCCTCAAAGGGTCCAAAATCCTAAATAGGAGGAACAATTTGAAAGGTTTATGAATGTCTTTAAAAAATTACAGATTAACATTCCTTTTACAGAAGCTTTGGAGCAGATGCCTTCATATGCAAAATTTATGAAAGAACTACTTTCCAAAAAAAGGAAGCTAGAGCATGACAAAACAGTACCCTTGACAGAGGAGTGCAGTGCCATTCTCAAGAGAAAGCTTCCTCAAAAACTAAAAGATCTAATATCATTTAGCATTCCATGTGAAATAGGATAGTGCACTGTTGGAAGAGCATTGTGTGACTTGGGAGCAAGCATAAATTTGATGCCTTTGAAGAAACTAGGCATAGAAGAAGTGAAACCTACCAACATCACACTGTAGCTAGCTGATAGATCATACACTTATCCATATGGAGTTGAAGATTTATTGGTTAAAGTTGATAAGTTTATTTTTCCTATAGATTTTATAATTCTGGACATGGAGGTGGATGCAAACATACCTTTGATCCTAGAAAGGCCATTTCTTGCAACAGGGAGAGCTCTTATTGATGTGCAAAAAGGAGAACTTATGCTTCGAGTTCAAGATGAGAAGGTAGTGTTTAATGTGTTTGAAGCATTAAAATATCCAGTTGAAGATAATTCATGTATGAGAGTAGATATATTGGATTCTCTTATTACACACTATCCTATTAATGAATTTGATGAAAATTCTGTGTTGAGAGAAACCATAGCTGCAGGAAATACAAATTCTGAGATTTGTAAAACATAACAAATGATGGAAATTGAGCAGCAACTAGAAGCCTTACCAATTCTAAATCCTGCAAAAAAAATCAGTTAAAGAAGAGCTGAAAAAGGAAATCAAAGAAGATCAAAATTGATGAATCCACTTTTTATTATATTTTTACTTGCCTTTTTGGTGCTCCTTGATAGAAAAAATGGACTTAGATAGTGCAAATAATATAGAAATCACATTTTGAGTAAATATCATAGGTTTATTAATTTTTGGTTAATTTGCATTTAATTACATAGATATAGATTGCAATTTTAATTATCTTGATAATTTTGCAGAGTCCCCAAGTTAATTCTGAGATATCTTGGCCCTTGGATGAAAGTTGCCCCCAAAGTAGCCACTTTCAGGAGTAAAAGTGGCAACTACAGCAAGTCTGGGCATTAAAGGTTCCAAAGTAGCTACTTTCAACCTCCAAAGTAGCAACTCCAGAGAGCTTCAGGGATGCCATTTGAGAAGCATTTTGCGCGTGGCCACTATTGCCTTTCATAGTGGCTACGCGCATCCAAAGTTCCCACTTTCAAGTCCAATAGTAGCAACCCCAGAAAGCTCTAGGACGCCACTTTCAAGTCCAAAAGTGGCAACTCCAGAGAATTGGCAAGCTTACGTAAATATGCACGTGGGCACTTTCAAGGCCCAAAGTGGACACTTTCAAAGGCAAAAGTGGACACTTTGCTGACATATCCCCCACAATAAATAGATTTTAGGAATTAGGGTACAGGGACTTGAACATTTATTTTTCTTTCATTCTCTTTGCCAAATTAGGACATTTTCTTTCCAGAGCTTTGGAGCCTTAGGTGACAGCCATGGGTCCATTATAGGTTTTAATTTCCAATTTCCCTTTGATTCTCATTGATTTACATTAATGTTGCTTACGTTTCTGCATTTCTTTCTTTCATTTGTGAAGCCCATCCATATGGAGGGCTAAATTCTCTTGTAATTCCTAGTCAACTCATATGGTTCTTGAATTGTTGGGCTTAATGGCAATATTACTCTTTCTTTCCTTGGATTTATTAACCCCAATCTCTGAATGAAATGAAATTTGCATGGAGGGAACATTGCTTAATGAACCCTAAATTACCCAAACGAAATTCTAATCCAAAATTGCTTAATTTTGATTAATCTTTGAGATTGCTTAATCTTAGGGATAGAGATTGGAGCCCATTAAGATGCCTAATTTTAATTGGGATGCTAAAGTTAATTTTCACTTGTTATATTAACTTAATTCAAGGAAAAAATAGGAGATTATTGAATCATTTGGAAGAATAGTGATAGAACTCATTGATTGACTAGGGATTACTCTTCTTAATTGATTGAATTTTACTAGTTTACATTTTGCTCTTGATTAAAATTTGGCAATTGACTAACCTCCCCCCAATTTACTTGCTTTAAAATATATGTTTACACTTATTTGATGTATGTTCCCAACCAAAAATTCCTTGGAGACAACCTAGGACAACACCCTAGTATTGCATACATTTTTTTACATATTTGATGAGGATTAACGACAATCTTTGTGCATAACGAGTAGCAAAATCTCGCATCATCAAATTGGTGCCGTTGCCGAGGAATGTTTGATGTGAATTTTGCATTGAACTTGTTAGTTGCTCTGTTTTAGTGCTCTATTTTCTGTTTTTCTACATTATTACTCGATTTTTGCTGCACATTTCTGCAGAATTTGTTAGCTTGTGTTGCGTTTTCTTGCAATTAGTTGTAATTTCTTTTCTGTTTTTGTTGCTTAACTTCTTTGCTTCATTTTACTACACATAGACATTAGTTTTCTGCATATTTGTCATCTGATTTTCTCTGCATTTTTGCTGTTTCATCTAGCTTACTTCTTTTCATTCCTTATAATTAGTTTCTAGTGCATGACCAGATCGAATCCGGAGACTTGTATCCACTTGACCCAGAGATTGATAGGACATTTCATAGTAGCATTAGAACACATAGGAATAGTTCTGAACATTGTGAGGAGTCTTCATCTCCTTCATCTATCTATTCATCACCCCATTCATTAGAATTTGAAATTGAAAAAATGGCTGACAATGAAAGAACATTAAAGGAATTGGCTGCACCGGATGTAACATATCAAACTTTATGCATACAGTATCTTGATATTGATGCTCCTTTTGTTCTAAAAACTGGACTAATACACTTGTTGCCAAGATTTCATGGCCTTGCAGGTGAAGATCCGCACAAGCACCTCAAGGAATTCCACATTGTTTGTTCAACCATGAGGCCACAAGGTGTGCCTGAGGAGCATGTCAAATTAAAGGCTTTTCTGTTCTCTTTGATGGATGCAGCCAAGGATTGGCTTTACTATCTCCCTCCAGGATCCATTGCTAGTTGGGACAACTTGAAAAGGCTTTTCCTGGAGAAATTTTTCCCAGCATCAAGAGCTGCGTCCATAAGAAAGGAAATATGTGGGATAAGGCAACTTGAAAGAGAGACCCTCTATGAATAATGGGAAAGATTCAAGAGGTTGTGTGCTAGCTGCCCCCATCACCAGATTAGTAATCAATTGTTGATACAATACTTTTATGAGGGACTGCACCCTATGGACCGAAGCATGATAGACGCTGCAAGTGGAGGGGCGTTGGTTGACAAAACTCCGGTTGCAGCTCGCAACTTGATTGAGAACATGGCCGCCAACTCCCAACAATTTGCAACTAGACAGAATTCCTGTGTTACTAGAGGTGTGCATGAAGTTCAAGCTACAGAACCAAACAAATTGGAGCACGAGATTGATGAGATAGCCTCCATGGTAAAGCAATTAGCTGCAATGCAAAAGAGTGTTGTCTCTGCAACACCTCCACCACTAATTCCAGCTACACTTTGCGGAATATGCTCAGCTGCGGATCATTACACAGACAGCTGTCCTACATTGCAGGAGTCAGACACTCCTGAAGGTAACCCCCAAGCCTATGCTGCAAATATTTACACTAACAAATTTCCTTTTCAGCAGTCGCAGCAACAACCAAACTGGGATCTTTCTTCAAACAGGTATAACCCGGGCTGGAGAAATCATCCAAACTTGAGGTGGGGAGGAAATTCCAACCAGCAAAATCAGCAAAGCAACAGCTACCAAGCTGGTCAAGGCAGGCCACATCAGCCACGCCAATGGAATGATCAACAACATGGGCAACAGCCCCACCAA